CTAGCCGTCTGGTCACTCAATGCTTTATGATTGCGCTGGCGCCAGGGTTGCCACAAAATGCACAGCCACACAAAAATATGCGAAAACTTGTCATAAAAAATATGCTCAACACTTGTTTATGTCAGAGTTTGTTGTCTCGAGTCGTTTCACAACACTTAAATGGGTATATTAAATATGAAACGCAGCTTAAACTTTATAAAATAGGTTAAGCAAATTGGCAGTTTCTTGAACTGAGCTTATTATACAGCATATTTGGTACAATTCATAAAAGAATATTTTATAATAGTCATAAAAAAGAGAAAGCTTAAGCGAGCTGAGTCTGTGTAGAGCTTGAAAGCAATATCGCCTTTTTATCGCCGTTTCAACTTCTGAAGAGAGTATTAACAGAAAACAATCACGTTTGCGTTTATTTAAGTCACGTTTAGTAAGTGTATGAATATCTTGCTTTCTATCGCAAAGCTTTACTTCAAAGAGTATTCGGACGTCGACTTGGTCAGTTAAACGATTTTTCAGTTTTTGTATTTATTTCGTTTGTTTTTAAGGCCCACACTTTAGAGGCACTTTAAACTTTTGATAGTCCCGCTGCGCCTTGGCAGCTGCTTCAGAAAATTTACTAGCGCAATTCATTAGTGGCAATTGGTCGATGTTGTTGTCGCTGTCGTTGTCGTTGTTTCTGCCTGTTTCTGTCCGCAGTGCTAGCTGTTGTTTTTGGCCTAGTTTTGCGCATAATGGCATGAAATATGTTTTCATGTGGCAAACGCTCACACACAAAGGCTCAGCGGGTAATCATGTCAAGCTGCGCCAGGATTAGCCCAACAGGAACACGAATTGCTGTTGATAGGCATTGTCGTTGTGTTATTGTTTGTTATTGTTGTTGTTTCTGTTGTTGTTGCCGTTGTTGTTTAGCAAAAACGAGAAATCACTTAATTAACTTAATCAAAATATTGCCATTATTTCGGGCGCTGAAAGGCATCAGCATAATTGAGCTCAGAGTCCTGCATGTCCTTTGCAGCATATTTCATTGTTTGTTCACACACACACACACACACTCGTATATTAAAGGAAACGTTAGATAAATAAATAAATGTGTCTATCCTTAATGATTTGTTTGTTTAAGAACATGTGTGTATACACATTTATGTGTCTTTCCCTGTCTGTTTATGCTATGTGTATTATGACAGGCATCGAATTGATGAAGAAATTAATTAAAATATTGCGCCTTTCTCCAATTTGAAATCGCCGACAAAGGCAAATTGCATTCTAATGTCAGTTGCCTGCCGTATAAGTTTCAGCATGAATAATATGCGACTAAATGAAATGGATTTCGATACGATTGCATTAAATAATTCAATGAACCGAAATTATTTTAATTGACTTCAGTTTTGAATGTCAATTCAATTAAAATAAACCCTATAAGACAAAATAGTAATTTCTTAAGCATTTAATCTAAGACAGATATAAGGAATTTTGATTTAAATTGTAATCTGATTCTAATATAAAATATGTTCAATTAAATAACTTAAATAAAATAACCATTCGATTTTCTATGCCATAAAAACTTAGAATAGTAGCATAGTCGCCAAAAAGCTGATCAATTTCTTATATTTTATGTTCATATTTGCCACGCTAAGCAATTTAATGCAATATTTCATTATTCATTTAATTTACTTATCTATTTACAAAGCTAATAAGCTGCTTAAGTTGCATTCAATGGACTTCCGCACAGTCTTAGCAAATTCATTTAACGCTCGAATACCTTTTATATATGAATTCGCAACAATTTCACATTTCGTCTCAATTAACTATAAGACAAAAGGATAACTGGTACCAAATACTTTTAGGGCTTATTACCCAAAAAACAACCCAAAATAAAAGACAACAAAGAAATGCCAGAGAAGAACAAGAGAAAATAACTTGCCTTTATTTGTGGGCCTAAAACCCTATTAGGACCCGGTCTTTAAGGCCCATATAAAATAATTTTAGGCCTTTTTTTAAAGTCATTTAACGCAACATAGCACAGACTCACACACACACACACACACAAGCCATTTATTGGGGGCTAGAGATAGCTGTCTGCGGCACATTGATACCGACGGGTTGAACGAAGGGGGCTGGCAACATTTCATGCCACTTATCAAAGGCAACAATTTAGGTTAAATACTCATTAATATTCCGGTCTGCGAAAGTTTTTGCCAAATAAATTTATGCCCGACGCTTTGGCCGCAAGGCACAAGATGAAACAACAACAAATATATAAATGCACGAAGGGAGTAAAACACACACACATACACACGTATAGACACACACGCACAGAAATTAATTTGGCCAACAAGGCGTATGTGTGCCCTGCCTTTGCCTTTGCCGTAGCCTACTTTTACGTGGCGCCCCCTAAAGAACAACAGCCAACTGGAACTAGAACTGGAACTAGAACTTAGTTCAGCGTGCAATGAAAATAATAATTGGCCCAATGGCTGCTTCCGCCAAATGAATAATTTATAAATTAGGCGCAAGAAAATGCGAGCAAGCCAAAAACTTTTGCACAACAAACAGAAAAATAAATAAATAAAAAAGCAAATATAAAATAAAAAAAAAAAAAGAATGTAGCTAACAACTTGGCGGCGCACAAAAGTTGGGACAAATAAAAAAAAAAAAACAGAGTATTTAATTTGTTTTATTTGATGTTGCAGCCGTGCGAGTTGCTGCCACTAAAATGCCAATAAATTTGCCAATGCTAGCCGAAACAACAATTTATTGCATACTTCTGAGCGCAGGCCTGTGCACGTGTGTGTGTGTGTGTGTGTGTATGTCTGTGCTTTTAACTGGGATTTATTTATTTACTGCTCCGTGGCGAATTTTTCGGTGCGCTGATAAAAATTTTGACATGCCAAACGAGTCGAGCTGCCCAACAAAATGACAGGATATTATTCAATTGAATTCGTTTACATGCCTGAAACTACAAAATAATAAAAGGCCGACGCCGAAAAACAACGATTAAAACAGTGCTCGACTAGCAGATACGCTGTAAACAGGATGCAAATATTTGAATACGTTTTTGTTTCCAGTAGATAACTTAATTAATTATTTAAACAGAATAGACATGCCATGCAATTAGTTATTGATCTGTGGAAGTCGAACTATTAAAGCTCTCTTAAAAAACATATACTTCAAGCGTACAGGGTATGGATTCTTTTTGCATTCATCTGATTGCACTTAATGTGCGGTAAAGCGTTTGTGTTTTATGTCGCTTCGTTTCCGTTTTGTGCAGTTCGGTTCGCTCCATTTCGGAGGGTCATATTTACATGCGCCTCTTATTGCTTTCGGTTAGAGTACAAGAGTTCTATATGTATTCATTTTGGGGCTTATTAAATGCGCATATTTTATGCAAGAGCCAAAAGAAAAAGAGATACGAGACCAACAAGAAACTCATTCATAATTTGGTTTGCCCTCGGGCTCAAACTCTGGCCCTGACTCTGACTTTCGCTCTGGCTGGTTGCTGCTTTCTTGGCCGCATTTCATTTATATACGTACAAGTATTTTTTCCTTTTGCCTAATTTGTTTGAGTTGTTAGGCAGCGAGTGGCCTGGCGGGGGCTAGCGGTGGGCAAGACAGCGCAAGGCAACTGAGAGCGGAAATTGTTTTGTGGTGGGCAAAAGTTTTTCGTATGAAAACCAAGCAAATAAGTTTATTTGAGCACGAGTAAATGAATGTTAAACGAAACTTAACTAAGATACATTTACTCTAAGCAAAAAGACAGTTAATCAATACATAAGCTCATAACTTGGCCAAAACTTAAATACTTTTCCAGTTACTATGCGCAAATTAATATAACTGCTTATTAGCTCAATCTTAACTTACGATCTTGAAATTATTATATGAAAGTCATATAGAAAATTGGAAACTGGATATTATATGAAAATATATAATTATAATTTAAAGGATTTTCATATAATATATTGATATATAGTTGAAATAAAGTTAAGTAAACCCAGCCGGATGCAGCCGAAATCTTAAGAATGATTTTGCCAAACTGAACCCCAATTTGAGCCAAATATATTTTTAAAATGATAAGTCTTAAAATGGAATAAATAGAAAACTCAGCCACAAAGCATAAATAGCTTGGGCCCCAACAATCGGCTATAACTTACCATTTTTGGTAGATGCCAATTTTGGGTTGAGATCGAATTTAGCCCGCGATTTCTGTATGAAAATATTCACGACTTGTAATATTTTCAGTAGAACAGGCATTTAAATTGAAAACATACGACCAAAACCAAGGTTCAAGTATGTGTAAAACAAAATGCATTGAATCTACGTGCAGAGAATTATTTCAAACTGTAAGCCGTATCAGCGACTTTTCTTTGGGCCCGCATTATAGCGCATTAAAAACAATAAATAAAACTTCGCTGTTTTCCCTGAAAATCTCAAACAATAGTTCACAATCTTGTTTTAGAAATCCATATGCTGTTGGCAATGCTTCAGAAAACATTCGACTGTTGGCACTTGGCAACACCTTACGCCTTTCAGCAGCAAAACCAACATCAATAATACAACAAAAAAAAATAAAAAAATCCTGTGTGCATTTGAAAAGTTTCTTTTTTGGTTTGTGCTGCAAAACTTTTACCACAAATGCGACAAGTGGAAAACACACACACGCACACACACACTTTGGGGCCAGTCGCTCTGTTACCTCAGCTAAATGCACCTCATTACTGTGCCACACACACACACACACACTGAGGCACACACTCAAAGAGCCACACATTAGTGTATATATAATAAATACTCATATAACGCCGAGCTACCAGGCATTTTCTATGGCATATTTGCAATTGCAGCAGCAGCACTTGAACAAATGCGAGAAACTGCACTTCAGCAGCTGCTGCTGCTGCACAAACAGAATGGGCAAGCAAACACACAGACACACACACACTTATAACACACAAAACACACACATAAAGCACACACACACAGTTGTAGAAGGAGTCCAAACATGGTCTTACCTTGTGCATACGTCCACTTCAGCAGAAAAACGATGAATACGAAACGTAAATCCATTTTACAATTTTTTACAGTATTTCGACTTGAGATAAAATGGCTAAAAAAGCGTTGCAAAAGCATTTATTTGCTTGCCACACACACACAGACACACCTACACAAACACACCACATGCACAAAAGGATCGCCAAGGATGTGCAGCTGCTGTGAGGTTGTTTTTTTTTTCCCTTATCAGTATTCGTATTCAATTTTTTATTGCGAGTTTCAGCTGCAACTTTTGGCTAGGTCGCCGGCTTTTACTAGGCGCTCAGTTTGCCCAGCATTTCACACAGACACACACATGCACACACATTGCGCTTGCCGCTGGCAAGAAAGCAGGCACTTTGCCTAAATGCTTCCGCTTCCGTTAGCTTTTGCATTTCCGTTTGCCACCAAAATCTTGCGGCGCATCAGCGTCGTGGCTGCGGCTGCCACCTGGTGGCCACTTGAGTTTCGCATGTTGGCGATGCCTCGCAAATTAAACAATTAAAACACACGGCACACTCGACGTGCAACACGTTTTCCGTAACCGGCAGCCAAAACTTTGCCAAAATGTTTGTTTATGTTTTTCTCTCCTTTTTTTGTTTTATTTTTTTTTGCTGTTGTTGTTTTTATCAGATGCCGCTGCGACTGCGACTGTGGCAAGTGGCAATGTGGCAGTGATTGAACGCGTGGCTCGCTCCAAACCGTTAACCGTTGGCGGCAGTAACCAAAACTCAACTGAACGCCAACGGGCCAACAGTTAACAGTTATGCCTGCCTACCCCCAGCAGCAACCAGCCCCACACCCCGTCTCTTCCGAGAGTGGTGAGTTTTTCGTCGGGCTCGTAACTTCGTTGTTTACGCTTCGTGCGCCTTGAAAATTCGGAGTACGAGCGAAATTCCTGCATGCAGCACACAAATCAGCTGTTCGGAAGCTAAGCTCCAAGCTCAATAGTGATTAGAGTACTTAAATTAAATGAAATAAGCTTAAAATATTCTAGAAAAGTTGCAAAAATTAAATATATTTTGTAAATTCGTTTTTTCTGTTTTCCAGTATTTTCTTAAAATTTCTGATCATTAGCTCAATCTTTATATATCCTTTTTTTATCATTAGTATAAAATTCTCTTTTATTGTTAACTGCAGCGTTTCGTTTTGTTTATTATCAACAGCCTCGCAGCATAAACAACATTTGTTGCTGAATTCTGCCGGCGTTCAAGAAATTGTTGAGTCTGCGCATTGCCAAAAAGAGTTTCACAATTTTTCGGAGCTCTTCAAATTCCGGTGCTCGCAGCGCTTACAAATTCAGCTGAGCGAATTCTGCTCACTGGGAGAATGTTGAGAGTTTTGTGCAAAGTAACGAGTGGAATTTTTGAAAAATGCGGGTGAAAAACCCGTTAGATGCCAATGCATGTTTCGGAAAATATTGAAATAACTGAAGCTGTTGGAATAAGTAGCCCTTGCAATTTACCAAAAAGAAAACGGTCGAGGAAAAAGAGTTCAGGGAGAACTCTTTGAAAGATAACTTAATTTGAATACTTATAAATTTACAAGAGCTTAATATATAATTTATTTGATATAATTTGTAAATAAATGTATTTAAAAATCGAGCTCATTTGATCCGAATTTAATTGTCGATAAGCAGATTTAAATTATAAATAATAAATATTATATTAAGACTCCAAGAAAAACTGCTAATAATGCTAAATAAAAACAAATCAATATTTAAAACAATTTTAATTTAAAAATCTTGAAGAAAAATTGTTAACATAAAAAACTAAAAATAGGGGTGAATAAAATATATTAAAGAAGGAAAAAAAAAAACAAACATAAATGTAAATGGTGTTGAAATAATCCAGTTGTATTATAAACTAACAATTATATTACAGACTTATATCAATAATGTAAATAATGTAATCAATAAAAGTAATAAGAATGAAAACAAAAACAGAATTAATTATTTTCTATGTTCCAAGTGCCTTCTTTAAAAATATCAGAATTTCGTTTCGCACTTTATACTCTCATGAATAGCTCTTTCATTTTACGAACCCCACATGGTTGGCCCAGTTAATTGGAAACTAATGTCATTTCCATTATGTCATGCACAAGCACCACAATCAAAATTAGCCCCAATGGCTTGTGGTTGCGATTTAAATCCCCTTCAACCACAGCCAAGCAGCTAATCAGAATTCTCTCGCTCACCCTGCCGCCCAAGTACGCCCCCTTCGCATGGTCTGGGCATCAGCCTGCAGCTACATAAACAACAATTAAAACGTTACAAATTGCACGTACAAACATCCTTCAAAGAGCTCCATGAACTATGCACATTTCTCAGGATTTTCTTTTCTTTCATTTTACGTTTTTGCTCCCTCCCGTCTATTTTCTTCAATTATTTCCGATTATTACAGGTAGAAACTTCAAATCCACATTAATTGCTATTTTACCAAGCCGGCAGCTCCTCATCTACACCCTGTTCAATGGCTTTAAGGTCCTGCCAAGAAAAATAACAACCTGAGGTTGGGAACTGATTTTCCATTCGCTCCTTCCTTTTTTTTTTTGCTGCACAGCTTTTGCTTTCTTTTAACTGGGGCTTGGGGTGCAAAAGCGAAAAGATAGAAAAAAATTATAGTGGACGACCCAGTAAAGTAAGTTCCACACAAGATTGTGGGTGGAGCCGGGGCGAAGGGGGCTGTGCGGATTGCAGGGGGTGGCTTGGATGATAAACTGCAATCGAAGGACGTTGACTGAATGATAAATTACACTTGACAATGGCCAGTGGCAACATGTGAGAGTGTGTGTGAGTGTGTGTGTGCGTGCCCGCTGCTGCTGTTACAGAGTCCGATGTATACCGTGTCCTGTCGGCAGGACTCAACAACTTGGTCAGAGCCTTGGTCTTGGCGTGCGCTTCTCGCCCTGTCATAAGTTTACTTTTAATACAAAAGTTTTTCCCACTGTTGAAAAGTGATCACAATGATAATTACACAAGCGTAACAGTAGGTGGCCGCGACGTGGTGGGCGGGGCGGGGGATACTTTGTGCCAGCGGGTAAGGGTAGCCAAACACCACCAAGATTTATGTGGTGGCATGTGGTCAGATAAGCAGAAGCAGAAGCATAAGCAGCAGGCCAGCCCAAAAGGACTTGATGCACAGAAAACTGAAGTATGGAGGCGGCGCGTCGTCGAGTGTCGAGTGTGTTTTTGTCAGCTGAACAGGGAAGCGGTTGTGGGGGTAGCGGGGTTGGAGGCGTATTACTCGGGCTGGGGTAATTATGATGGCTGCTGCTGGCTTCTGTGGCCTGAGCCAAACGCCCATGCCTTAGCCCAGTTTTTACTCATTAAGGATATCCGTGCAGGAAAACAATGCCAAACTCGAAACTTGGCTGCGAGACACAAAAGCCGTTACAATATTACCGCAGCCAAACACAAGAGGGCAAAGCACACCCACACAATCACACACACACAAACACACTCTCACACACATAGCCGCAATTTGCAACGCCTCCATTTCATGGAGCCTGGCTTTTAATGCATTTAGTGGCTGCGGTTTTTGCGCTCACTGTGTTTGCTCTTTGGCGCGCCAAAACAACAAAGCAGCAGCAGCAGCAACAGCAGCCACTATAACAACAACAGCAACACACACACCCACACCCACACACGCACATACACATAAACAAAAACAATACAAATTTATTTTTGCAACCAAGTGCCCGCTGCAGCCCCTCATCCAGTTGCTGCACTCACAGACTTTGTGCGCACAGCCGGCGGCACAGAACTTGAGCACTGCACGGAAGTTCCGGATTCGCAATTCACCCCACGGCCTCAAACTTGCTCTGCGGGCCATCAGAAGTAGCCCATGGTGTGTGGGGAGAGGGGTGCGGGCGCCACAAGATGCCTGTGCACTGGGCGCCACGGGCAACCGGTATCCCAGAGCGGGCTTTGCCCAAAAAAGTGTTAATTCGTTTGCTTTGGTTCACTATTTATTTTTGTTATTATTTTTTTGTTGTTCTCATAATTTTATTCTATTCTTTTTGGGGGTTTTTCTGAATTAAAAGTTGGCATTCAAATTAAGTAGAGCCGGGCTGTGCAAATTATGCAAAACTTGTAAGTTTCTTGATAAACAAAATTAAAACTACACGAATTGCGAACATACCATTTTTTTTTTATGAAACAGCAACAAGTTTTGATGAGATTCTGAGAAGCATTTTTTTCTGTTCAAGAGCATTTAAGTAAAATATCGAGCTAAGTCGAAGGCAATGTCAAGCCTTGTATTAATATTAACATTTGTGAATAATTATGTATCATAAAAATTGTTATGTTATAAATTGATGCCTGTCGATTTTGTTGCCCGCATTTAAATAAGATATTTTAAAATTTGTTTAAATGGGAATTAAATCACAATATTTCACAGAGCAGCATTTATAAAACATTATTGATATAGAAGCAAGAGCTTTGTCTAATTTAATGTCAAGCGCTTGCTGATATTATTATTAAGAATTCTTTATATTTTTTTAAATATACAAATTAGATTAGGAATAAACAAAGATTTATCCCAAATAAATTGCTGTCACTCAAAGATATGATAAATAGTATTTGAGAAAACTACTCAAAAGTACTTATAACACCAATGCAAATACTTAAAACACACTCACTCACACACAGACACCCACACACATACGCACACACACGCACACACAGCTGCAAGTCAATGACAGCTACAAGGAAAACAAACAAAAGGTTTTCCACAGTTGCAGTGAAAAACTCTTGAACTTTGAGTGTGATTGATTGCAACTGAATGTAATTGAATAGCCGCAACTTGAAGAATGCGCAAAAAAGCGAAAGTTTTCACTTTCAGACGGATGGGCGTGGGGAGAAGAAAAAACAACTTTCCGTCCAGACAGCTAGCAGACAGCAGAGCTGTCATTGTGCAGGAAAAGCGGAAAAGCATAAATAGCAGCGAAGCGAATGCAAATGTGAATTCAATCTGGCATTAAAAATGCAACGATGTGCGCTCATAAAAGCGACTGAGACAATGCTGCGAATCATAAAAGCCCAAATTGCC